CTTGATCTTCTCCTACAGTGGGAAGTTCTTCATTCTCCCAGTCCCTGCCTTTGCCTTCTGTGATTTGGGCGGTGTCGCTTGAGCCCTTTCCAGTGAAGACTGAGGCAAAGAAGTCATTGAGTACCTCAGCCTTCTCCATATCCTGGGTAACGAGGTCTCCCATTTCCTTCTTGAGAGGGCCTACATTTTCCCTAGTCTTCCTTTTATCCCCAACGTACCTATAGAAGCTTTTCTTGTTGCCCTTGATTTCCCTGTCCAGGTTCAGTTCTATGAGGGCTTTAGCTTTCCTAACCTGATCCCTGGCTGCTCGGACAATTTCTCTGTATTCTTCCCAGGCTTCCTGTTTTGCTTCCACCCTCTGTAGGCTTCCTTTTTGAGTTTAAGTTTATCCAGGAGTTCCTTGTTCATCCATGCAGGCCTCCTGGCATTTTTGCCTGACTTTCTCTTTGTTAGGATGCATTGCTCCTGAGCCTGGAGGAGCTGGTCCTTGAATATTAACCAGCTTTCTTGGGCCCCCATTCCCTCCAGGGCTTTGTCCCATGATGCTCCACTGAGCAGATCCCTGAATAGGTCAAAGTTGGTTCTCCTGAAGTCCAGGGTAGTCAGTTTGCTATGCAGCCTCCTCACTGCTCTAAAGATCTTGAATTCCACCATTTCATGGTCACTACATCCAAGGCTGCCCTTGAGTTTCACATTCCCCACCCCCATCCTAGGGAGGGGGAAGGGTGAGTGAATGGGTTGTGTGGGGTTGGCTCCCAGCCAAGGGTAAACCTATCACACTGCTAGTCTGTGATTCTTATATACACAAGAAACTTGTATCATTAATTACAAAGCCTTTCCTCAAAACTTTTCATATTCTCACTAATTTAAGTCCTGATGTTGCAGATTTAGGAAACTCAAGTTACAGAATATTTTAAAATATCCTTGTAAAAGTGCAAGAGCCTCTTGATGTATGTAGCAGTGGCAAGTGCTGCATAAAGGAGAGCCCATTGCCTTGAGATTGGTGTAGTAAGCTTGCATTTAAACTACTTGTGTTTTCTAAAACCAGTGTCTAAAAAGAGCCAAAAAAGCTTTGCTACTCACTTTTCCATCTACTAGTTCGATGCCAAGCCCATCCATTTTCTGGCTGCTGACTCCTAGGAGAACACCGTTCATTCGTGTTGTACGGAATTCAAATTCCACAAGCAAGTCTGTTCCCACTTTGTATGCACCAACTTGGAGAGAAAAGGGGAAGCATAATAAAATGAAGAAAAGCATTTAATACATTATTCCCAATAATAACACAAAGTGTGTTGCCAAATACCTATCTTGGCATTAGCAATGCACTCCATTTCATGCAAAATCATGTAAGTAACTGTTCTGGTGGCTGTGCTTGGTGTGAGACCTTGCTAGAAAGTCATATAGTCTATCCCTCAGCAAGATAAAGAAAAATGATCAGTGAAAGTTTCAAGTATTGGTCTCACTTTGCCTCCAGTCAGCAGGAGTTAGGTAGCACTAGAAGTTTTTGAAAGCAGCATCTTCTCTTTCTCTGTTCCTTGCCTATCAGCAGAATTGCTGCTCATTACCTGTTTTGGCAAAGCCTGTTCCATCGAAATATGTTCCTTTCTGTGCAGTGACAAAGCATTTTCCAACGTTGAAGCTGGAAGCTGGATTATCCAGGTCAACAGGTGATTCTGTCATTTTAAAACTTCTGATACAGCCGTTGATGCTGTAGGTGACCTGCAGTCAATATTTCAAACAAAATGTGTAACTGTGCGAAGCAAGCTGAAATGCTCAGAATGAAGGCCTGAATTATGTAATCAAAAAAGTACCTTTCCTCTGCTTTCCTCTGCTGGATTTATGGAGCTGAATAAAACTTGACTTTTACATGGCTAATCCTTAATATCTGATTGTAATTGGAATCTAATCTCTGTTGTACTGAGGATGAATTACATTACTTTTCAGGGATGTGATCTGAGACACATCTATTTGACTTAATGGAGGGAACATAAAATAATACACTGCATAATGAAGCATAGCAAATTACAACAGCAATGCAGGAATTTAATGGCTTATACATTACCTTTTTAATTGACTAGGGTATGGGGTTTGTGAGGAGGTGAAGACACTGGATACAGTTCTCTGGGCTGCTGGGCTCCCCGCCCCCCCTATCTTTAATCATGTTACTATGTGCCTGATGTTGCATGTTAAGACTGAGATAATGCAGGTACACAGCAACTAAAATGAACAAAGCCCCTACATAAAGGTTGTTGATTGTATTCTTTGTATAACTGCTGACGGTATTCTTCATAAAATAACTGTATATAGGGCCAGTGACCGCAGCTACAGAGGCCAGAGAGGCAGGTAGAGGTGGAGGACATGCTTGGGTGCGTGGAGGCTCCCGTGCAGGGTAGCAAACTGCAGCTGCAGTTTGGCTTCTGCGCTGGGGGCACATGGCTGTGACTCGGGGTGGGAGGTTTGTGCAGACTTCAGTAAGGGTGATCCTGCCTGGGGCACGAGTCAGGGGCTGCCCAGGCTACAGCTCAGGTTGCCCCAGGGCTCAGCTGTGTGGATGTGCACCCCAGTGGGGCCTCTGAGAGCCACTGGCATCCCACCCCCCCCAAACTGCCCAGGGAGCTCTCCCCCCCTTTTCTCTCAGAGGTGCGCAGAAGAGGCATTTTGGTTCTCAGCTTTGACCTTTGACTTAAGAGTCAGGAAAATTTATCCCTGATACTAGTGGGAGAGAGGAAAATTATAAACCTGTACTTTGAGGAAGAAAAGGAAGACATATTCATAAGCAATGCAGTAGGGAGGAAAAGAAAATCAGCATATAAAATACAGTGTAGAAATATATAGGAGAAAGGCACACCTGCAGGGGGAAGTCTTGACTCTACACACTGCCTCCTCTGACAATGTCCTGACTGGAAATTTGAAAGAATTTCCAAAAAATTTTTTCTTTGTAAATCAAAGCTGAATATACTGTGGAATTATACAGCTTATTACTGCTAAATACACTTGTACAAAGTGTACAAGTACTTGAACAGTATCAGTGAATAAATTCATTTCTGATCTGAGCAATGCTTTCTGTCAGCTTCTTCATAAGTAGACCTTTTTCTAATTTCTAAGTGAAAGTCATCTCTAGATCAACAAGTTTTGTTACCAAAAATAAAAAAGACACAAAATATACCAAATCTTGCCAACTTCACTGTGAGAATAAATCATAGAAATGCAAGATTTCTAGACAATTCTATAACATTCTCTAACTTCACAATTTCACTTTCCCTATGGAAAAGCAAATCTGTTTTGACTTTAGCATGGTGACGGGCAGTATAACATCTTTTGCTGAAAGCAGAGTTTTGAGTGCTTTAAATGTGACATATGCTGAAGCCAAACAAGTAGGTATCAGTCTGCTGCACTGAATAGGAAGCCAGCCCAGCTATGGTTACCTATTAGGTGATGTCCAAAATGGCTGATGTGTATTTAGCAGAAGGCCCTAACTAAGATAATACATGCTTTCAACTTACTTTGCTTCAGAGCCTTTACATGAAGACTACAACACAACGCTCTATTAATACATCATGCGGTGTATTTTACGGAGAATGTTTGAAAGGCAAGCACTCGTTTTTACCTTCTGTGAATGACATTTGAAATCACAGCTTCATTTAGATTCCAAAGCACGTAAGACTGTCAGGATCTGACATGACTGTTACTGCCAGACTGAGACATTTGTCTGCATGGGTTCCCTCCATTACTTCTGACAAGGAGCAGTAGGTAAGGATTTAGTGTTACCTTTCTCCTTAGGTTAGTATTTGTAAATTGCAGATGTATTTTAAAGAGCATACTTTGATAGTATGAGGCATTATATTTTGTGGGTAGTTAAGTATTGCTTTTGTTTTTCATTGCCTCGGATCTGGTTCGGTCAATTCAAATGATCAGTAGATTTACCTCAGTTCGGGCTTTCTGCACAATCCAAAATCCAAAATTTGCTGAGAAGTATGATCTTACAGATCAGTTTTCTTTATGGAATGCAACTCTCAGATTTAGAGTGGTTACTCTTCCCCTTCATTCCTCATCCACGAGTTATTATAGGGACTTACTTAACCAGGATCTAGGAATTCTTTTTCTGTAGTTATTTTGTCCACTCCAACTGGTGGACTCTTGCCTGTCTATAGACTAGTATTTGCCGTTCTGTAATCATCTTACTAGAATGCTATTTACTCATGTACAGTTTCTTTGAGAGCCTGGTTTGTTTCCTTGTTGGGATCTGTATTTTTGCCTCCTCTTTACCAATTCTGTATAACCACCCAGAATGAGCCTAGATATAGGAGTTACTGACATTCCAGTTATTTGTTCGCATTGTGCTGTACTATATGCCTAATTTGTTGTTTGCTATGATTAAATTCACTCAAGTTCTGTCTTCTGCTTTGAAAAACCACTCTGCACAGAGAGAAAAATAATGCAGGGAAGAGTTTTCTCTGATTCTGATACTGGCATATCTTGGGGGGGTGTGAGGGCAGCAGGAAAGGGAGGTGACTGACAGGGAATTTGTGTGGATAGCTGCAATATGTGGCCTGAGTGAGGGAATACAGTGTTCCTAGTTAATTCTACAAAGTTTAGGCCAAAATTATATTCACCTCTCTGGGCTCCCTGTTTGCAAAGGTATCTTCTGTGTCAGCATGGAAGCTGGGCATTTGGGCTGAAACAGTGATGGACTGATACATGCACATTTGATTTGGAAACAGAAAGAGGACAAGAGAGTTTTCATGGCCTTACTTCAAAATACATCCTCTCCTAGTTTAGTAATAACAACACAAAACCAGTTACTACAGTAGGCAGCTGTACTACTGGGTACTTTGTCCTGGGTAACTTTGGTTTCTACTGCTTCTCTTAGAATATACTTTCAATGTTTATTAGCACTTAATTTATAGATGAATTACAGCCAAGAGAAAGGACAAGTAATAGTCAGGACCTTAAACTCTAGCTGTGCGGTGATCAAAGTGGATACAAGCATATGGATCTTTTTACTTTTCCATAACAGTAAGTTTGCTATTTCTAGTTCTTTTCATTAACTGGATTCTGAGTCAGATCTTTCCACTGAACAAACTTAGTGTACCTCCAGTAAGATTTATTTTGGTGAGCAGTCTTGGGGAAAAGCAAAAGAAAACAAAACTGGGAAGACATTGGTACCAATTAAGACATACTTAAGGTGTGTAGGATAACTTAATTAGACTTGCTTACCGGACCAATTCTTCTAGTTGTGTAGTTAATGGGCAATCCACCAACATAGAGCATTCCTACAACATCCAATATATCAGCCTTCTTGGGGCTAACAGTCCTGTTTGAAACATCATCTACTATAAGGGTTCCTTCTTGCTTTGTTCGAATGGCTTTTATCTAAAATGACACACAAATGCAATACAATTACAGATAGTTTTCTCTCAACAAAGTATTTCCAGACTGTAACTAGCCTGTAACAGTCCAAAATATACAACAATATTGGAGAGAGTAGTAGGAGTGGTTAGTAGAAGTTCCCTGCCAGCAACTGTGGATGATGTTCATGGAACAGAGCTCCTGTGCAAGGTCTTGTGCAAATATATGACTGCCTTTTAATTAGCTCTGCATAGGAAGGCGCAATGACTATTATTTATCAGAATACTGAAAGGACTTAGGGTTCCTTTAAAAAGCTTAACTGTTACAATCATGGGAATGTCACAATATTGTTTTTCCTGGAATCAGATAGCAATTTTAAGTACTGGGAATAGTAAATGCTGAATGTTAACGGCACCGGTGGCAAATCTTTATTGCAGCATGTGTTTGCAGACAATTCTGAGTTTATGATTTCACTAGTTTGGACATGCCTCAGATTACAGTTCATGCTAGAGTAAATATAATACCAACTATATTCTATTGGCATTATGGCTTCTGTTCAGACAAATGGGCTGTGAATTGTATGGAGGAAGTGCAGTTGCTGCAGAGCTGAGGAAATTCTACCCCAACAACTGCAGGCCAGTTTCTTTCAGAAGGTTTATGCTGATTTCTACAAATCAGCATAATAATGGTTCTGTATAAAAGAGGGATAAATGTTAAATACAACATGCATATTAGCATATTTCTACACAGCACAGTAGTTAGCTCGCCAAAGAAGGAAAGAGAGAAAACCAGCATTTTTCTTTGGCTTTTCTTTAACATGGCTGCTCTTGCTTCAGTGTGGCAGCACATCTGTCATGCAGTGAGAATAACTGAACACTGACAAGGGGTGTCCTGGAGGTGAGGGACTGAATTTGGTGTTTATAGACAACTGTGAATTTGATATGGACAGTTACACCCTGGGTGGAAGGAGGATTTGGTGAGCGAGACAGGAACTGGGAGTAGACAGTCTTACAGAGGACCTAAAGAGATAGCAGCAGCACAATGTGGCTTCTGTATGGACACGTGTTAATCTAAACCATTGCAAATGGAGAAGAGGTTCTCACTACAAGGCTTATTTTAAGGAGAAGCCTTTGCTTTCTTAAAAACAAAGACTGTGGTCTTTTATTAAAGAGGTTGCCCTTTTCCCCCTCCCAAAATGGACTTCCTTGTGGTTTTTTTGGGAACTGTGACTTTGGATTTTGTCTCCATTCTCTACTACAAAAATGGGATCTACAACAAAGGCCCCTCTCTCACAGAGTGCCAAGCTGCATGCCAAAAGAGCATAGTCTTGCATTTATAACAGACGCTTGTTAGTTCTCTTATAAGATAGTGAAAATGGCTAAGAGAGAAAAAAAAATCCTTGTTCTATATCTATAGAGAGTCTAGCAGAAAGGGGCCCTGGTCTACTGCCAGTGCTCCTAGGCACTATGTAGAACAGATAAATACGACTACAACTTTATTTTTTCCCCTCACAAAATACCTTGGTTTAGAGCATTTGCTATCATCAAAAAGTTCATGAATAAAAATCAAGTGAAAATAAAATTCCTGTGGAACGGGGTGGGAATGAAGCAGAGAGGGTCTAAGGATGACTGAAAAGAGATGTGGTAAGAGCAATTCAAGCATAACAGAAAATGCAATTAGATTTTTTTTCTCATTTGGTGATAGAGATGTGCACGGTGACTTTCCAAGTATCTGTCCAAAATGTAATGTCTCTTATAGCATATAACTTGAATACCTGGTTATATATATTCTTTTCTTCTGTGTCTTTATCAGTGCTTTAAAGAGTGTTACCTAATGAATATACTGTGTGTTTGTTGTCCTTGGCCCAGTAAATACTAAACTTCATGACTGTGATATTATTCCTTCACTTACCCTTGAAAGCCACAGGCATTGTATCTAAATGCTTCCTCTCATAAAGTCACAGAAGGGTCTGCCAAATACATCCATGAATATCATATTTATTCCCTAATTAATTGAATTAATAATGCAGGAAAGATTTACTTAAGTATTTTTTTTTCTTTCTTCCTAGCATTATGGCTGAACAGTGACATTATTAACAAAGAAACAACTGGCCATAATGATGTATTCAGTCACGAGGAGCTGGGACTCACTTGAGCCCTATTAGGCAAGATGGAACATTTTCTGCAGTTCCTTACCATACATAGAACATATTGTAAATATGTCCAGAAATAGGTGTTTCCTCAAGGACAAATTTCAAAGATCAGCACCAGCTTCTTTGTTAGTGGAATATGTATGGTGTACTCAACCGTACATCTAAAAGCACAAATTTTGCAGACTACAAAAATGCCTAGTTGCAAAGTTTAGCTTGTATAGACTACCTTTTGCAAATATCTTAAGACAAAACAAAGCTTGCTCTTAGCACTACAAAGAATAATTCAGCATCAGCGACTATTATACCTTGTGCCACTGGCCATCATTTATTTTGTTGGAAATCATTGTGTTGGTATCTCCGCTCCCCAGATCATAGCTGAAGTAAGGCAGTCCATTCTTTATCTGAACTGTAGCAAAATCAGCATGGTTGATGCGGGCCATATAAAACAGCAATCCAGAATCAGCTGTTGTTCGGACTTCAAATTCAATTGTAAGCCTGCAAATCAAACAAACAGGGAAACAGCAACAAAGGGAAAGATAGTCAGACAGTAGACGAATTTATCTGCTTTACCTATTTATGTTCCTCTAACAACGCTTTACATTAAGTGTCCCTTTTTACTTGTCCATCAGAGCTTAAGAAAAATGATTTGCTTATATGCAAATTGCATTTTACAGATATCTGATCCCTCAGATGTGAGTGTTCATTAGTCCTTTTGCTGTGGAAATACAAAAGTGCAACCTTGGCAAAGAATTTCAAGATACAATTCTCAGCTGCAGCTGTAGTTGCTAGAAAATCCCAGCGCTTGTAAAATTCCAGCAGCACTATCTGTCATCCACACACGTAATGCTCACAAAGAGGAGCGAGCTATAGTGACAGCTGGCAAATGTTGAGTTTCCAATGAGTTGTATTGCCTGAAGACGGGTTGCAAAACTTTTAAAGAACCAGAGAGAAGAGTTTACAATCAGGATATAAAACACTTATTCTGATTTGTCCAAACTGAAAATGGAAGTGTGTCTGAGGGGGTCTGCTATCTTGTGAAAACCACTGACCCCTTGGACCAAATGGTAAAGCCAAAAACCTCCCCTACAGCAAAGAACCTGGGAAGAAATGATTTAGATGATCTAGATGCTAAGGTTGTACAGGCAACACATCACTAACTTAGCCCAAACTGATCTGCAAAGTCAGTACCTGAAAGGAATTGATAATATAAATGTGAAAAATCATTGTATGAAAATTATCAGGCCTGGATTCTTATTTGAAAAGAAGACATGCAAGGACTGTAGGGTTACATATTTATTTTAATTATTTTCCTAGTTTTCTAAAATTAGCATACATGAAAATATGCAGTACACCATCTTTATAGATAAAAATAAATGTGAGGCTGATAGACTTGTAAACTATAAGGCAGCAAAAACAGTGGTGTGACATGGCACATTTGTTAATGATCATGTGCTGGCACAGCAAAAATGAACAATTAACAAGTCATAGCTTCACAAATCCATTGAAAACAGCTGTATGTTTATAAGCAGCTCTTGGAATTCCTTTGCATATCTTTGTGTATATGTATATATTGCTATACTTTTGGAGGGCAATGTAACTTTGCCTGTTTTCTCTTCAAGCTTGATCTTGACTATTGGAACAAAGGGGAAAAAAGGTTTGCTTATTACAAGAAATTATCAAGAATTTTTCACTCAGAGGGTGATGAGGCACTGGAACAGGTTGCCCAGAGAAGCTGTGGATGCCCCATCCCTGGAGGCATTCAAGGCCAGGCTGGATGGGGCCCTGGGCAGCCTGCTCTAGTGGTTGGCAACCCTGCCCACAGCAGGGGGGTTGAGAGTAGATGATCTTTGAGGTCCTTTTCAACCCAGGCCACTGTATGATTCTATTAAGTCAGTGAACCAAGAAACTTTCTTCAAAAAAACCCCCAATTTATGAACTAATTTGCATGACCTGGTTCCATTCTTCTGTGTTTGGTTTTTTGTTCTTTTTTTTTGGGGGGGGGGGGGGCGTTGGCTGGGTTTTTTTGTTTGTTTTGGTTTGGATTTTTTTGGGTTTTTTTTCCTGAAAATCAGTCTGGGATCTATCTGTATGTCTGTATGTGCCAAACCTTTACAAAGAGGTGAGCTGTTTTTGTGAGAGCTACTTGGGTGGGCACTTCATTGCCTAGATTTCATGCTTTAATGCTTTTTAAATTTACATAATAAAATTAAGTAGCCGTGGGCCGTGATCTTTTTTAGATTATGCCCATAATTTCGGGAGATGCTTTTGAGAACATTAGGAGGGACATTTTTATTTTGACATGATTCCATCAAAACTCATTGCTGAAATAAACAATATACCTGTTTTTCACTTTAGTGTCATCAAATGCAACTGCAATGTGGCTGTTCCTTGAAAGACCAAATTGCTTGCCACCTTCCAAAATGGCTGGTTCTGTGTCAGCAGCACAGGAAACCTGCAAAATATACAACGATGAAGCAAATTTTGTATTTTCTATCTCTGCTGTGCACATGCTGGAAGTTTTCCAGCTGCCCAGGAGTCAGAATATTCCACCTAGTCTAGACACTGGCCCTGCAGTTTTCCAGGTTGTTGATGTCTCATCACACCAGCTAAAGTTATAAACCAGTATGACAGGAACTTGGTGTAAAAGCAGAGCTCATTAAGCTGGCTGTAAAACAAATAAAAGTAATATAGGAACATTGCTGCTTTCATGCCACCAGTGGACATTTTTACAAGAGTCTTAAGTGATTTCCAGGCAGCTCAGTGTATTCTTAGCTCGCATAACTGGGTTTTACACAGCAGGATGCCCTTTTACAGAAATGAAGCAAGACTTAAGTTTTAAAGGGATGCTTTGCTGTCGAATTGAAATCTAGTCACCTTAAAATAATGAGTTAAAAGTAGTTTCAGATCCTGCACCTGTCAACAAGTCCTCCATTTTACTTCTTTATATTGTTTTACAATTGTATTCTTTGTTTAATGTGCTCTCGTTTCCCCTGGTGTTGTTGAAAGGCCCCCACAAACAATAAGGGCTCGAGTAACTGATGGATAGAAGTAACTACTGTTAAACTCCCCTAGCTGACTAATGCAGACACATTACTCAAGGGGTAAAGAAAGAAACCCTCCCTGCTCCACTTCTATTAATCTTAAAGTGGTGCAACAATGGAAGGTAAAATATCTTCTGCCCAGTATAATTTTCTCTTTCTAATTTCACCAAGTCTTTTAATCTCTGGCCCTAAAGCTCTTGTATAGGGGTGCCTGGGGCAATGCGAGACCATGGTAATTACCAGCTCCTACTCATGTCTAGCTTTTGCCTCCCACTGAGAGTATTGTGAAGAAACTACTCAAAGGGTCTAACTCAACACAATATCAGGACAATACCCCCGGGAAAAAAACAAACTTTGATAGCTGTGAGCTCTGTCTTTAAGTACTGCAGCTGATATAATTTTCGATTGGTGACAGTCTCTTATTTGAGCCTTGACTCAGCAGGGACCTGCAAAGTAGGAGGTGCGGTTGCTTTTCTAACAAAGAACCCTTTCTGTGAAACATTTTGAAAGTGTCATGAGTGACTCATCAGACACTGAGATTTCAGCTGCAAAGAGGAAAATTCTTTCCCCCCTGACTCAGTTTTTCAGTAGTGTTGTATTTTTTGCTTTCACATGTCGCAAACATCTTCACAACAGCATGGAGCACTTCTAAATATTAGTTTTGCATAGTGAATGCTCTGGTTTGAATAAGACAGAGTAGAACACCATGCATTACAAGTACACATCAATATGCAGTGGAGGGAAAATCAGCAGGACGAAAGAAAGTTATGAACGTGTGATAGTCGTCTTCCAGTGGTCATCAATTAGAAAAAAAATCATATGCCCACAATGCTGGGTAAAGTTTCTAATGATTTTAAGTTTTACGGGTTTATCTAGAAGTTTAACAACTATTTTAATAACAATACTGTGTACGTATTATTTTCAATAGCACTTGAAGATAGGGACTAACTACTGGTACTGGAACAACAGAAAAGTATTGGAAAATACACTAACACACACTTTTCTCTGGCACACTTTTACATATTACATGGTAAAAGGGCATATTCTGACAGTAAATTCAATCCCAGGCAGGTATATGTTAGTAAAGAGCCTGGCTCTGACAATTTAGCTGCTCCCCAGCATCAGCAAACACTGCAGTTTTTCTTCATCTCAGCAGGAGGACTGTAAGGAAGGGCAAGGAGTGGGAGAGAGTGCCAAACACACTGTGATGGTTGAAATCACAGCAAGCATATACTGATTATTTACTGATAAATACTGACTGATAATAGCGAACATTCATTAGGTTGATCATAGAATCATAGAATGGTTTGGGTTGGAAGGGACCTTAAAGATCATGTAGTTCCAACTCCCCTGCTATGGGCAGGGACACCTCCCACTAGACCAGGTTGCTCAAAGCCTCATCCAGCCTGGCCTTGAACACCTCCAGGGATGGGGCATCCACAACTTCTTTGGGCAAGAGATTGGGTTGATGTGGAAATGTCAGTAAAAATAAAAAAAAAAAAAAACCAGTGGGGCGTGGTTAAAAAACTTACAGGTTTTATTCACAAGCCTATATCAGCTTTAAGTTTATCTATGGACAGCCAGCTTTACAGTCTTCACAAGACTGTGAACTAAGCATGGATCATCGGCCTATATTAAAATATCCCAGCTTTGTTTTTTCAGTAATGTCCTTAAGGTGTCCTGGGTTTAAACCTGGCTGTTTAAAAATCTCCTATATTACCTGAGCGCCTCAAGACTGAACTCTTCAGCTGGACTTTACTTCATTCTTGTCAGATGTTGAGGAAGCTAGGTGAGTATCAGTGGGAACAAAGAACAGAAAAGCCCACTGGTGGACTGTCACGCATTCTCTATAAACTATGCTGTATTAGCAATCACAAAGAAAGTAATCAGGGGAAAAAGGGAGCACCACTGAAGCAGTCCCCACAGTTCACTGAATAGTGTTAATGAAACTATGAAGTAATGCATGGAGAAATAGTGGAAGATACTGTCATGGAGTCAAATGCAGAAGTAGTGCTGGCACTCTTAATTTCAGTGGAAAGCGAATCCTGAGAAGCAGTGAAGAGGCAGAAGCAACAGTTACCCAGTGTTGAGAAACATTTTAGCATCCATAGCAAGCAGCAGCAGCAGATTGGTCACCAGTTTTCCTAACTGTCCTACCTCTAGATCTTGTCTTGCCTTTAGTAGAGGGTAGGTTTGTTTCATTTGGGATCAAGCTCCTCTCCCCTTTTGCATGCAGATGGATAATAGATTTTAAAAAGGTCCAAAAAGGTCTTAAATAGAACAGATATGTTATTTAAGCCTACTAAGTTGAAATATTTTTTTCTGCTGTATATTTTCCATATACAGTCCTTTTACACTTAGCTTCTGTAAAATTAGCTGTCATATGAGTGCTATCTCATTATTAAGACTATAGTTATTTATTTTGTTGCAACATCCCCCAGAAAAATACTTCAGAGAACTTCCTGAGATGAACGTAAAAACTATCCAAAAGCTTGCCTTATTTAAAATACTTTAAAGTCTTCAAAATACTAAAATGGTTTCATTTTTTTTTCCAAGAGAGAAAGTGGAGTAATGGTATTTTCTTTAGATTTTTATTTTGAACTCCTGTTTCAAGTTATCATGGCTCTAGATGTGTGATATACAAAACTCACCTAGTTACAATGGGACTAGTTTCTGGTATTAATTAGTAGATCTATTCCTCTCAATTTTGCTATTGAAAAGTTAGTGCTTAGAGTCTTAGTATGCACTTGCTCTCTCATGTGCTTCTGTGGTTTTAAAATTTTGTTTATAATGCTTGATCAAGGGATAATATGACCACACTCTTTCACAACAGTGAGCATTAAACTGGATAACTCTTTACTGTTGGCTGGTTCCTTATCTCTCTATGGGTAGCCTTATTATACTGCAAATTTGCTTACTTTCAACTCCAAACAGAAAGATGCATTGGAGCTCTTATGTTACAACTACTCCACCTTGTGGGAATTAATAAAAAATGCTGCCCTAGAGCATTAAAAGGCCAATACATACAACTCTGGGGCTTGGGGCAGGGTGATAACTAAGATGGAGCTTGCCTGTCTTGAACATCAGGCTCCCATTTCCAGGTACACAGATGGCTGCATGTACTGTGGAGACTTTAGTAGTGCCTGATGAGTCCTTCTAGATAAAGCTGTGCCATATGTACCTGGCCAATGAAGGTGGCCACCTTTATGAGTTAGGGGGTTTGGCCTAAATTTTGTACCTTTTTTTGGTAGGAAAACATTGTTAGAAATTCTACCTATGTCCAAGGAAATCCAGATATGAATTCTGAAAATGAGTCAGGTAGCAGGGAGCGACTGTGGCAATGAATTCAGGTTCCTTTGCCTCTAACTGATAGACTTACACCCAACCAACTCATTGAAAATCGCAACTTTTTTTTTTTTAATGCGGTCTTCATGCAATCAATTGATAATCTCTGGGTCACAAAGAAGAATCTAATACAAACAAACTCAGTGTTCTGTAATGTTGTCTCAGTGAGGAGGTGTGAAATAGGAATAAAGATTAAACTGGACCCAGCCTGGGAGCTCCTCCCCAAAATGGTTGAAAGATCTTATGAAGCCAACCTGGGAGAAACTGCCAAAATTACTGACTCTGTTGTATTGGATATATATAAAAGGAAAGTTAAATATCCCAGTTGTTAACTTCTCAAAACTGTCTTATTATGGTAGTGTAAATTAACTTAGTGTAAATAGGCTCCTAACGGGGAAATGTGCAGTCTTTTCACACTATTGGGAAACTGCACCCATGCTGAACTATATCCTGCATAAACCCATGGGTTGTATGCAGATGTAACAAAATGCAAAGTATTTCTCCGCCAAGAACACTTTCCAGTGGATATATTATTCAGTTTAATATTCAGATATCTAAACATATCTTTTCTGGACAGTAAAATGTTACATCACCTTGTAAAACTGCTACACTTGTGACAAAGAAATTTCTTCTTAAATTTTGCTGTATCAGACTGCTTGCCACTATTTAGCTATTTAAGATTTCTGGTAACAACAGTTGACCTCAATTTAGCAGTGGCTGGGGTTTCAGTTCTTAAATTTGGAAGTCTCCTGACTAAAGATATAAACTAGCAGGGGAGGAATTGCCATATCAAACAGACCTCTCTGGTTTACCTGTTCCTTCATCCTGTCACTGACATGGCTGTTATCATGTGCTTCAGAGCACAGCACAAGAAATATCATAATGATGTGGATTACCCATAAGAAAGTTTCCCTTCCAACCCCAATCAGATATTGACATCCTGAAGTGCAAGGGTTTAGGGCTGAGCATGCGAGCTAAAAGGGAGTTCTACTGCTATATAGTTCTTTAAATTACTGTTGTGATAATCCACACAAATAACTTGTGGCAAGTTACTTTTCAATTTTGCCTGGAAAAATAAATTTTTGAACTTCACCTGAGTGAAGTGATATGCACTTACAAGTTCTGGAGACAGAGATGGTGTTGGAGAAGGAGGGGAAGCAGGAGGAGTGCTTGGTCTTTCTTTCTCCCCATTAGAGTCTGGTTCAGGTTGGATCAGGACTGCTGTGTGGATCGGTTTATCTTCATCCTCAGGTGGTCTAACCTCTGGTTCTAGAGAGGGACATTGGCCAATATCTGCATTTTCAAAGGACATGGGTTGAGCAAAGTCCATGGGGCTGAGAACACACAAAGAAATTGATGTCTGTTATTAGTTTTTCTGCCTTTTATCACCCATTTATAGAGCATAGCTATATGCTGCAGTGTAATTCCACTTCACAGGACACAAGAGCCAGGATTCATTCCATCTGTTTTAGGTACGGAAGTGGGACACTTAAATTAGAGGTGATAGTCACCATTAGCTTTCCTTCCTACAGTCAGTGCAGAGAGACAGGCATCCTCTTTGGCAAGCTTTACTATCCATGGTAGGCTGAATCACACTGTGGAGAAGTCCTTCTCTGATATACATTGATGGAGTGTGGGGTGATGAGATCCTAATTTAGGTACTTCAGTTACATGAAAGAAAGATTTAGCTGGGAACTTTCTCTAGAGGTTTTACTTTATTTACTGTTCCCTTTCTTTTTACTTAAATGATCCTCCCAGGTTACTGCCACATGTACTTTCCACAAAGCAAATTAATTCCCATGGTGGTTCTCAGCATTTATATACTCTTGGAGATCAACCTTACTTAAAGTGTTATACTACACCATAAATACTTATCACTGAGGCAAGTATTACTGCAGCACTACTGTTGAATTTCTCAGATTTTATGGATAAATAGACAGTTGTTGGCTCATCTGTAAAACAGTTCATTAATTGCATAGCATACGGAGTGTATATTATAGACAAAAAAGGAATGGCATATTAAGAAAACAGATAATATTCTAGGATTTGCTGTTAGTATGATTCCTTGCAACAATGAAGTTTCTTTTGGCACCCAAGGTAGTTAACCAGACCTCATTAACTGTATGTTTGTTGGCATCAGTGAGACTCACGTGGCATTAATGACAAGATTCCATATACAGCCCTCAAATGGTGGTATATTTCTGAGAGGTGCAGTCTGAAACTGAGAAGAAGTACCCCCAACAAAGAGTTTCTTGACAGAGATGGGCTGGTCTGTTGGCAATCGCTGAGTCTGGACTTTGTCTTCATCTACTTGAACAGTGAACATCCTGTGAAAAAGATTTGAAAGCAAAGAAATATACATTCTACTCTGGTTATTGCTTGTATTGAAATTACCACTTTGCAGGGCCCGTTTGCTCCCACACCAGCTGTAACACTAAGCAACCCAAATTATGTAATTAGCAGCTTGCACTAAATGCATATTAACCACTAGAAGGTTTTCAGCTAGTCTATGCTTCCTTGGTTGTTCTCTGACAGAACTTGGCAAAGCAATGCTGTGGAGGGGCAATAGTATCAGTCACCGGTCACATAGGAAGAACTGGTTTATAGTATGGCAACACGGACATGGCAAGGGCCCAGCCTGCTGCACTGCGATGGCAGGTATAGTCACCGGCAGGATGGGGACAGCACAGGGTCACATTTTGTTTGGGCTCCCTATGTCTTGGTTTGTACAAGTTATTATCTTCTTGCATGGGGACAAACACCACTACAGATTGCTCTGGTTGCAGAATCAACCACACATACTGCAGACTTTTTAAAAGATCTGGTCTCTTTTTTCTGGGGGAGATGGTGGAATAGGAAAATTGCTGATTGTTCACCATGTACTGATACAAGCGCTATAATTCATTCTCATGCGTAATGCACATGCTACAAGTTATTGCCAAAGCAGTCCCATGGAAGATACTGGTAAGGTTGAACAGAGGAAGGTAGAAGTCTCTAAAGCACAGCACCAATGGCTGACCAAGCCGCAGCAAGGAATGGAAAAAAGAGCAGAGAGGAAAGGGGTAAATATGGTGAAGGGCATTATTCTGGTAAAAACAAGAATACAAATGTGAGAAAAAAGATGAATGTTCTTGCCTGTCAAAGCTACTAAGATGCAAATGTTGCATTTTGTACCACATTTGCAAGGAAACACGGTAAAGGGGACAGAAAGTGAAAAACTAGCTTGCCAAGCTGTACATTGTGTATACTGAGAAAGCAGCGTTAATATAAGTGCTGTGGAATTGAGAGACAGTGGATTATTTTGATGGGTAACATATATAACAAGGTATAGCAACAAGAGTCAAAAATTTAACTGCTGTCTTTGGGACAATGTACCATTGATGAAATATAGAAAATCTTCAACTTCTGAAGAGATCCAGCTTAAGGTGAGCTGAGTTGCAAAGGATGGATAAGAACTTCAGTATTTTTGAAGGTGAATGTAGATTGCTAGTTGACAGAATTTCTTTATGTTGCTAGACTGTATTTAATAGACTTTAGCCAGGAGAAAATCAGGACCACAAAAAAAGCTATATGTGTCTCTGGTAAACTCTGATCTGATGTATGAAGTGCAGTTTTTATTTCAAATATGTTACAGTCATGCTAAACATCAAACCTAACTATTCAAGTATCTTTGACTACAGTTTGTTATGTAAACACAAGTTGGGTATGTGTAAGTAAGTAGCTTGATTTTTCAGAATTACTGAGCGTCCTTAAGACATATCAGAAATAATCAGTTTCTGGCAAATAACTTCACTTTTTTTCAGCTGTAAAATTATATCGAGCTCCAATATTCTTCCTTAACAATAATTACAAATCTTAGCAATGGAATATTGAAAATGATTATTGAAAAGAGGCCAGTTATAATACGTCAAACTCATGTCTTATTTACACAAATCCTAGACAGAACTGGATAGTGACTTAAGCACCTGAATTAGATAACTGTTGTAATACATGCAAATTGTTCAATTATCTCTCTGAAGAGTTTTGAGATATGAGGTGTTCCTCAAATTTAATCAAAGAAAACTTGAGTTCACGATAAGCAGAGAATGGTTTAAATTTAGTTTACATCTCTTTACATCCATTTCAGGTTACAGAAACTGCAGAATTCAGACAATTTGTTTTGTAACAGAGCTGCTTTGAAAACACAGAGGTTTCATCTGAACAAGCATCATCACTGGATGGTATTGTACAGCAACTGTGTCTTGAGGTACTCTCACAGGTTAAGCTACTGTACTTGCTATAGCACTGCATAAAATAACTTTCTTTGTTGTTTAGAGCTGCTTATTATCATTCGCATATTTGTGTTCTGTCACAGTGACACAAAAAATTTTGCAAAATGAAGTAATCAATTTCCAAAATAACTTTTTCTCCCAGAGAATTTATCACAAACTAGTTATTAAAGATGGGGAGAGATTGCCTGAAGGCATTATTTACAAGATTTCTTTTTAATGATACAATAGAAATTCAGTCAGAAAATTACACTGACAAAGGACAAAGCAAAGCAAATTATAGAGGGGACAGAAGGGCACCTTGGGATTAGACAGACAGGAATTGTTGCTCAAGAAGGCTGCAGCATTGCGGGGGTAAGAGAGGGAAGTGTAGTGTTCAGTGTGCTTGGATAAGTGCATTTGTAACATGCTGGATGTCACATCTTCTGATTTTTTTTTTTAAACAGAACAGAACAGAACAACATTGTGCCTAGTGTGCTAATGCACTGAATGTCTGTAAAGTATGTACACATTTGTATGTCCAAGTGTCCACAACAAACCCTACTTGGAACAAGGGCTGTTCCAGGCCATAAATAGTACTGACTGCCTGAGTCCTACACATTACAGTAGTGATGTTTCTAGTCGCTTTCTGAATGGTGAAGTGTAATGAGCAGTTTGTCTGGGACTGTGTGTCTTCGTTTTTTTACCATATTTAGCTGGGCACCACCATAATCCCATGTATATACATCAGCACATGGCATCTCAAAAAGGTTACAGGCTGCCGTGCTGTTGCTGTTCATATACTTCGAAAACGGTCTTTTTCTACATGTCTTTAAAAAGTGATTTACTACACCACAGCAGTATTTCTTATCCACAGATTCAATTAGTAAGATATATTTGCCAAGAACCAGAAGGTTAAAGATGCCAACTGAGACAAATGCAGATCTCTGGAGAAACAGCCTAGGAAAGCATGTAAACCCAGCTCTGCAGAATAACAAGCACTATGAGAAACTAACTTCTAAAAATTTTTGGATAAGGATGGAATTACACTAAACTCTTTGCCTCAGCAGAAGCATTTACATGGATTGCTAAAGACATTGGAACATTCGCATTACTGAATTAGCTATGCTGTGTGGTCTGTAGCACTTCTAGGTATTTGTTACCCTTTAGCTCGTTCTATGCGGATGGAGTGTGCTCTGCCGTCGTGAAACTTGCCAGCTTCTGGTTTGATGGTGATTCTGTGGGGATCCCGTATCCCAGTAGAGATATGCACTTCCAGTTGACCTCTGTTCAGGAACACTGCATAGTAGGCCTGCAATGTATATGTTGGTATGAGAATGTAACTTACATTTAGAAAGAAATAATTTCACTTAGTTTTACATTAGTTTTATGAACGTTTTATTTTCTTACACTGGTTTTAATTTGCTCACCATAGAGAAGATACTGTAGTTTCAGTTCTGCTGCTGCTGCTACATTCAGACTCTCTTGTATTTTTGTAATGAAAAATGGATAAAATGCGGTTATGCTGGAAAGCTTCATCAAAAGGTTTAACTTTCTGCTTACCTATTTGCAGGGAAGGATGGAGACTTCTAAACTACAGTTCTTTGACTTTTGCTGTTACAAGGCCTGGTCTTATACCCGTCAAGCCCTGAATAGCATTGATCTCAGTGTGAGTTCTGCATTTAGAGGGCTGGCAAATCACGCAAGTAGTTACTCTAGCAACCAATATCATGTTGTAGCGGATTTCAGGATCTAACCTCCAGTTACTATAGCAATGAGTGTCATGCTCACTTCTGTGACCTGAAGAGATGGGTAATGATAAAGGAGCCCCTACCCCGAAGTTAATGTCATGCGGGTGAGCCATTATAATGTGCTGTCCCTGGAGCGTGTTCCTCCAGGTCACTGAGAGCTCTCTTCCAAAACAGGCAGGAAGGAGAATAATGAAATATAATTTCCCAGAAGTCCTGAACAAAGAAAGCATCAAAATATTATGTTTATCTCTGCTGTACTATGTCTGTCTGTGAGGTTTTTAATTAATCAAGATTTGAATAATTTCCAACAGCAATCACACTTTTACCAGTTAGTCACTTGGACTCTGTAGGTACTTCCTCTGAACAAGACTGACTCTGTCCTCTTAATCAGAAACAATTTATACTGCAGATTTGTTTTTTACAGGAGAGAAGGAGAGGCTGGAGCACTCTTAAGTGTTATATCCCACAGCAGCGATCCCAAACAAGGGGCTTATCTTGCCCTGCTTTTAGCAGCTTTCTTTTTTTTTTTTTTTTTTTGGTCTCAGGAGAAACAGAATGATCCTCGTTTATCACTATAAGAACAGGAGAGAGATATCTCCAAGCCTTAATGGTGCATAAGTAGTCCTCAGAATGAGTGAAGAACAGTATTCTCTAATATTCAGGTTTGATTAAAAAAACAACATGGAAGCATCTATATGATAGAAAAAAATCTGTTGTTGTTTAGCAACAAGCAATGAATGCCTTATTGTAAATCTTTAAGAGAAACAGTTACTCTAATGCAAAAAAAAAATTCTGAGCCCCTATCAGATTCTTCATCAGATGAAGGATAACATTAGAAATAATTTATTCCCTAGCACTGAAACTATAAACACCTGACAGTGTTTGGAAACAAACCGAGTATTAACAAGTTCAGTTAAATTGTAGGTTTTCTTTATCTTTTGCTAGGTTCCTCTTACCTGTCCCGTCTGTCTGCGCTTTCTTCTCAGAGGGGCAGCTTTCCTCCCAGTGTATCTGCGCTTTCTTCTGCCGGGGACAACTGTGCCACTTGTGCCAAACAAGATGATCCCAGACTCATTCTTGGTGCTGAAGGAGAGGTTGATTTCTGTGCCCATGTTAAAGGAGACAGGCTGCAGTTCCACAAAACCTGGCTTGGGGAAGCTAACTGTATAAATGTTCTGTAGGAAGAAGGGGACAGGAAAGCACATTAACAGGATTAAAAGCAAGAGTATGAACATGCAGAAAGATTTCTTAACTAAAATAATAAACTATGTAAATATAGCTAGTGTGAAGAGAGGGAAAGTAACAATAAACACTAAGCAATTTACTTACTAAGACACAAAAAGAAAACATAGGGGGTGGAAGCAAGAACGGGTTAGCTGGGAGGTATACAAAGAGGCTGTCTGAACAGCCAGGGATCAGGTTAGGAAAGCTAAAACCCTCATAGAATTAAATCTAGCCAGGAACATAAAGGGGAACAAGAAGAACTTCTACAAGTACACTGGTGATAAAAGGAAGACTAAGGAAGATGCAGGCCCTCTCTGGAAGGAAACTGGAGACCTGGCCATGAGGGATATGGAGAAGGCTGAGGTGCTCAGTGACTTCTTTGCCTCAGTCTTCACTGCCAAGGGGTCTGGCACACCACCCAAGTTGCAGAAAGTGAAGGTAAGAACTGGGAGAAGGAAGATCTGCCCACCTTAAGTGAAGATCAGGTTCGAGACCATCTAATGAACCTGAAGGTGCACAAGTCCATGGGACCTGACAGGATCCACCCACGGGTCCTGAGGGAACCGGTGGATGAAGTTGCCAAGCCATTAACCATCATATGTGAAAGGTCATGGCAGTCTGCTGAAGCCCCACTGACTGGAAAAGGGAAAACATAACCCCCATTTTCAAGAAGGGTAAAAAAGATGACCCAGGGAACTACAGGCCAATGAGTCTCACCTCTGGGCCTTGCAAGATCATGGAACAGATCCTCCTGAAGGCTCTACTAAGGCACATGTAAAATGAAGGAGAAAAGTGATTGGTAACCAGCATGGCTTCACCAAAGGCAAATCATGCCTGACAAACCTCTGGTGGCCTTTTATGATGGAGTTACAGCATCAGTGGACAAAAGAAGAGCAACTGATGTAATCTACCTGGACTTCTGCAAAGCATTTGATGCTGTCCTGCACGACATCCCTGTGGCCAAATTGGAAAATTATGGATTTGATGGATGGACCACCCGCTGGATAAAGAATTGGCTGGATGGTCGCACTCAAAGAGTTGCGGTCAACGGCTCAATGTCCAAATGGAGACGGGTGACGAGTGGCGTTCCTCAGGGATTGGTACTGGGATTTAGCATCTTTGTTGGCGACATGGACAGTGGGATTGAGTGCACACTCAGCAAGTTTGCAGATGACACCAAGCTGTGTGGTGTGGTGGACACGCTGGAGGGAAGGGATGCTGTCTAGAGGGACCTTGACAGGCTTGAAGTTCAACAAAGCCAAGTGCAAGGTCCTGTACCTGGATTGAGGCAATCCCAAGCACAAATACAGGCTGGGGAGAGAACGGCTTGGGAGCAGCCCTGAGGAGGAGGAGTTGGGGGTGTCAGGAGATGAAAAACTGAACATGAGCCAGCAGTGTGCACTTGTGGCCCAGAAGGCCAACCGGATCCTGGGCTGCATCAAGAGAAGTGTGGCCAGCAGGTTAAGGGAGGTGATTCTGCCCCTCTACTCTGCTCTTGTGAGACCCCACCTGGAGTACTGCGTCCAGCTCTGGGTCTCCCAACACAAGAAGGATGTTGAGCTGTTGGAACAGGTCCAGAGGAGGGCTGTGAAGATGATCCAAGGGCTGGAACACCTCCCCTGTGAGGACAGGCTGAGAGAGCTGGAGTTGTTCAGCCTGGAGAAGAGAAGGCTCTGGGGGAACCTTATATCGGCCTTCCAGTACCCGAAAGGAGACTACAGGAAAGCTGGGGAGGGACTTTTTACAAGGGCATGTAGCAAGAGGATGAGGGGTGATGGATTTAAACTGGAAGAGGGCAGATTTAGATATTAGGAATAAATTATTTACTGTGGGGGTGGTGAAATACTTCCAGGGAAGTTGTGGATGGCCCATCCCTGGAGGTGTTCAAGGCCAGGCTGGATGAGCCTTTGAGCAACCTGATCTAGTAGAAGGTGTCCCTGCTCATGGCCGGGGGGTTGCAACTAGATGATCTCTAAGGTCCCTTCCAACCCAAACCATTCTATGGTTCTATGATTCCATGATACTTCTAAAAGTGTTGTGCAAACACTAATTTACCTGTTTACATCTGGTGTCTTTAGAGTATTTCTGGAATCCTCTCTTACAGGAAGGCAAAGTTCCAGTCATATTTCGATATATCCTCTTGGATTTAGAATAACTGCTCACAGGTGGTTTTTTATATTAATATTTTCCATTGAGTTAATATAGTGAGATTTTGCTTTTAAATCAATACAATAGATAACAACGGCCAATATAAACATAAACTAGATTATATTATTTGTCAAATGTGCCCACAAGATACTTTCTATTAATCAGTCATTGCTTCATCATTATTGCTTTGCTGAGCATCACTGCTTTCTTGATGACTCAGGCTCATAAAAGGAGCACTCGTTGCGCATGGCCCAACTTTCTGGAATTTGGTAGCCATTAACACAATTTAAAGAGTAGAATATATCATCAAATAGTACATCAGTGTATACTCCTGAAGATTTTCTGTAATCACTGACAATTCTTCTACTCTTACAGCCAGGGAAGACCAGTCTATGGAAACAGTCACTTTTTCTAAAATAACTCACTATTTTTTTGTACATTAGAACTTTTTACAGGTATAGAGCTAATAGATGTTGTTCAACTTTCTCTGAAATTGGAGGGCATTGAAATAATTGAGTTCATATCCAGTCTTTATCTTTTGTTTTTACTTCTTTTTAATTATCCTACATATCGTTTTTTGTACAATTAGAATATTTAATTCTCCAACAAAATGGTTAATCCAATTAGATTTCAAATTCTGAGTTACAAAGTAATTTAAAAACCAAAATTCTTACTAAGATTCACAGCAACAGAAGAAAACCAACACAACTATCCTTCTTTCCTAGTCAGGAAAGAAGCTACAATAAAAGCAAACAAATATGAACTTCTGCATAAAATTTTTGCTGAACCCAAATTTGTAAGATTTAAAAGCATTTGAGCAATCTGGTTCTTTGCAGCTTAGCTTTGCCACAAAATTGAAAATTTAAGAATGTCCATTTTATGACAAATCCATCTAGGCTAATGTCCTCTGTGAGAGTCCTCTTGTTTTGTGCTTTTAGCTCTGATTAAGACCTGAGATAGAAGTGATAAACACAGCAAAAGAGGGTACTCATCTTTATTTTGGCCTGGACAGGTTCCAGGCACTGTTCAAAGGAAATTTTCAATGTTTTGGAGAAAAATGTTTGGAGAGCATCTATTTAACAGCAACGACTCATTTGGATTTGCTGTAGTGGTATCTGATACGGAAATCTAGATCATACATTTACTTGCAAAACTATCTTAAACAGCATACATTTCCAGGGAAGAAATACGAACTATTTATTGGGAGACAATTGTCACTGGAAATATTTTTTTATAAATGATGACTCTTCCATGGAAAATTACTATATTATCTCTCAAACTTAAGATCAGATTCCTTGAATCTGCAGCAACAATTGAAAATAAATAGACTGGAGCTGTATTTGAAGTTAAAATAATGACACCAATTTTACACATTCTTAGTGATCAGTAAGAAAGGTGCTTTCCAGCTCAGTGATAGCTCATAACAGTAAGTGCTCTTCTTATCCTAAAGGTGACTTTGTTTCAGGTACCCCCAACTATACTGTGATTTTCAAAGTACCTCAGGTTTTCTGTAATGAATGATTTTATAACAACATTTTTTAAAAAAATTGTTTAAATCCTTGGATTTTATGTGCATCAAAATTTCTTAAGGTTTTTGCAATATTGTCAGTGCCTAATTCTATCCTCATTAGTGTCAATAATTCCCATTTTAGCCAGCTGAAATAGAGCTAGACCACCACTAAGCATTTCAGAAAACCCTACCCTTGAGGGATAGGGGTATCACAACTGTCCAGGGATACTGTCCAAGAAGTTAGGATCTGGAATACCAGTCTACTTGCTGATCAGATTAATTCATATTTCTTTCTCTTAAATATAACTGTTCTGATTTTCAGTTTAGATCTCTATGTGTGTTTGAATATGCTTTATACAATTAATATGTTATGCCATAAAATCAGAAACCAGACAACATTTATATCCATTAAGACCAAAATACATGGAAGTCAGACTAACCTCTAGTGTGCATCCTTTTGTTAGACCAACGAAATCAGGACTACTCAATATATTATACGGTGTCCTTGAAATTTCAATCTCTTTGAGACAACCTGTATATTTCTTTAAGTTCACTTCAGGCCTAAAAAAAAAATTTAGAAGTACAATGTATTTTCAAAAATAGAGTTTAGGGAGAACACAGTCATCCAGACACACACACATGAACTTTCTGATGCACAGATGCTTTTTTTTTTTTTTTTTTTTTTTTTTTTTAATATGCACATACACTCAAATGAATACATCTTGCCTTCTACCACCTATGAGCACTTAGTCTTTCATCACTCAAAGGTGTAACAGGAGATTCATCTCATCTCCAGTTGACAACAGTCCTCTTTTCCATTTTTTCTTTCTTCAGTGTTTTTTTGTTTGGTTTTGTTTGTTTGTTTGTTTTTGTAGAGGAGTGCTGCCACCTTTGGTGTTTAAACACAGCAATCTATGAAATAACTAAGTAGTTGTTCCTTAGGCACAGCAGAAAGATGCAAGCTAGGAAATCATAACAATAAGGAGAGACCTTAACGGGAAGACAGATGTTTCATTCATCTTTTTGCATGCTAGATCGTAATGAAAGAGGCACTGTAGCAGCATACAAATATTTTTGATAAAGTCTTTGCCAAAAAAAAAATTGATTATTTTTTAATGCTTTAGGAATTCTTTGTGTTCAGGTGGACTGACATTTGTTTTCTATGTATTTTACATTCCCAGTATCTTTCCTATGAAAACTATATCCCCTGTATCTTTCCTATGAAAACTGCTGTGTAGTTTCTTCTGACACAGCAATATAATTATCAGGCAGTTAAAGGAAAAAAAAAAAAACAAACACTTGGGTTTGTTACAGAACCTAAATATCCATTCAAGATAGGAAAATATTGTAATAGAATTGCAAAGTTCCATGGTTTGGCTCATCAGCAGGTTGCTAGAAATGAGAAAACCCATGAAAGCAACACCAAAGCTAGCATGCTTGGATGTAAAATTATTATTTCCCAGGCCTAGGAACACCAGAGTGAGACCATAACTGCTGGTAATATTTGAACCAGGCTTGCAAGAAGAAAAGCCTTATAAAGTCACTTAAAAAAAACCAAACTTGCCATTCACATCATGGAGAGTAAATACAAAAAGAAAAAAAAGCACTAGTTAATTAATTCACAATATTACCCATGAGTGTTTACTAGAAATCTGAGTAATGTCAACAGCTCAAAGAAATAAAAATGAATTTAGAAAATAAATAAGGAGTTAAAACTGTGGGGAAATAAAAAACCCAAACAAACAAAAAACCAAACACTCAACTCCTTGGAAGGAAAGAAAATATTTGAAAGAATATTAATTACAGAATAAAACCATGTTGCACAGATACTGTTCAGCTGAATGTTTTGGTACTGAAAGCCATTCTTTGCATTATAGCCATCCTAACAAGCGTGGTGTATTCTCCAGCAAATTAGCACCCTCTACGTAAGTTAAAGCAAGCATCTAGTTTACTAAAATAATCCATATTCTGCTTTATTTACAGTCATGTAGTTATGGTCACTTTTCATTTTTGAATTTTTATTTCCTAGCTCTTCCCCAGTTCCTTTATAGACTCTTCTCAGCAGCAAAAGAGTTTTGTCATGTCATTATCAGCAGTGTCCGCAGCATCCTGTCTTTGCTATCTGGAAACCATCCATGTTCCTACCCCCTCCCTGCCCTGTCCAGTTACAGACTGCCCTCATGCTGTCCCATTACAAGCAGTTGCTGTTACGTTATAATTCTAATTCCCAACCTGTATGAACTCCACATCCTTGCAAACACTGAACACTTGCTTGATATTTTGTTAAGACTCCCTTTTTCCCCTTCCAAAAAATACAAAACAAGGTCCAAGTTCATTCAGGTCTCACATAAATTCTTGGCCTTTTTTTTTTTTTTTTTTCCAAACTAGGACTAGTTTCAAGGGAACACAAGCAAAGATTTCTGGACCTTGGGAGGAAATAATCTTTCTCAGGACAAGGGGGGAAATCTGCATTTTTTGTAACTCATGCCAGGAATTAAGCTGCAAAACAGTGGAGTTCAGTTCATATCTGAGCGTATCAAAGCAAAAGTAGTGGAGACAAATAGTTGCAAACTGGAAACAGTCAGAAACAGGTGACCTCTCCTATCCCCCTGTTCTTAAACTCAGAAGAGCCAAATTTCACAAAAATTTGCACCTTGTTTTCATGCCCTCCTCAGTAACTACTTCACGGCCTCGCAGTGCCGTGCTCCTCACCTGACCCGCGACTGCAGCCTACAGCCAGGAGGTCAGAACCAAACTCAGCAATACAGCTTGCCATAGCTCTGCTTCCCAGGCATTCCAGTGTCATAAACAAGCACAGCTGAAGTAGGCAGCTGTGTGAAGCAAAGGAAAGTTGTTTGTGAAGGTGTGTGCACAGCATGTAACATGACAGTGTTAAGCACTTGGGAGTGGCTTTGCTTGCTGCAGCAGGAGCAACTCGCTGAATTAACAGCCTGAGCGTAACAGCTGGTATAAATACTGCCCACACACTGCTTCTGCGTTGCTGCCTGTGCTTTCAAGCTGCACTTACTAGACACATGCAAGTCATGCAAGTAATATGATTATTTTTACCTTGCTTTCATACTAGGGTGAAAGACAAAAAAAAAAAAATCAAAATTACATTAATTGTAGCAAATGATTCTTATTCAAAATATTTAACAGTGAAGCAGATATACATCATTTACAAACAACACATTATGGATGGTGAGATTCTACATGCACTATCAAGCTATAATAATTAACAGGGTTACTCTGCAAACAGCTACCTTAAAATGTAATATAGTAGAGAGCTTCTATAATTTGTTGCTATACTTGGTTGTGAGTAAATCAAACCATGTAGAAGAATTTGGTAGAACTGACCTGACCTGATAATTACAAAGTCACGGGTACTTCAGCATCTATTGTTTGCAGTAGCTCAGCTTTGCCCTAATCCTCCTTTCACTATTTTTCATTCTAATTTACCATAACATTAATATTTCCCCAGTGACTGATGAATCATAGCTGTAGGCAAAATAGTTACCACAGGTCCAAGTAGTTGTGGTACTCTATTTTTCTAAGCAACCACAAAGGATTTGCTGGAAGATAATTGCTCTGGACATTTTGTTATGCAGTAGTGTGATCTCACAATTACATAATACAGTATCACATTTCATGAGTAAAATAGATCTCAGATCTTTTTATTGCTGGGTGATTTGACATGAAAGGTCAGTTACTAACCCAATAAATTAACAAATATAACCTTTCTTTTAGTTGCAGAACAGCCTGTGGACTAATCACAACAGTTCCCTGTGCAGAAGAGCACTTCAAGGCTGTCATTATGCCATGTAGCTAAAGCTGACATAGATAAATGGGCTTGTTTCTGCATTGTTCATCTGTTCATTGTAGCACAAAATTCTCTTGTTCTTGTCATTGCAAAACTGATGAATATTCATTTAAACCACAAGTAAGTTTTTTGGTCTATTGAAACCATGTAATTCAGGTATCTGTTATCCCATTTATTTAGTTTATTAAAGCTTAACTTAAAGTTTATCAAGAATAATATGCAAGATTTAAAAAATAAATAATTGGAATTTTGTTTGAGAAAGAAATTCAGTGTCAGGCTTCTGAAGGGAAAAGGTTGCCATGTTTCATTCTTCTTACATTAAATATATGAAGAGTATTGTATCATATACTTTAATTCCTGAATGCAGGAGGAACTTAATCTAAGGAGTCCAGGAACTTATGTCTACAAATAATTTTAAATTTTATCTAAAGACAAAAGTTGTATACATATCGAAAGTATACTGACCCTGATTATGCAGACATACCCATTTAACAGTAATCCTGTGAGGAGTAGTCTGTAGTTCAATTTCTCTACTCATGCACAATGTAAACACTTGTGCTTAATTTTGTGGAGGTATAGAGCCATTTCTGTAAGTTTGGAGTAACAAATTCTATTAATAAAATAAAAAAATGCTTAAAAAGCTAAAGTCAGCTACATCATAGTTCTGCACAGCATCAGAAAGCTCTACTGCACCATTACAATGATTTCCATTGTATTTGTGTATTGTGAGCTGTGTGAAATACATTAAAATACACAACATATGTACATAAAGCATTGATCTGCTGTGGCAATGTCAGGTGCATTGGGAACTCACCCTTCACTTACTGGAAGTGAACTTGAGAAACAAATACAGAGAACAAGATTACACTGCATTTACATCCCCTTACAAGGGTAAAGAAATTGGCTGGATCCACATTACCTTAGATTCCTCAGGGTTGGCAATCCCCCAAAATATATTTTCTCATGCCCTTTTAAGTTGAGCCCAAAGTGGCTGCCTGTAGAAGTTGTTGCTATGGTCTCTTCTTCATTGGTGTCTATGTCAACAATTGATATGTTGGCTGGAAGAGATTTGAGATTAGTTTCAAGATACTGGACACGAACAACGATGTCTTAATGTAAAAAACCAAGAGACAAATATTTGGAGGGTTAGCAGATGAGGGGAGAGGCAAGGAGGCTTGTAGTTTGCAATTAAGACACTGAATTTCCAAATTATCAATTATGGGCAAAGAAAGTGAACCGCACTTTCCTCTGTTTCCATAACAACCTGAAAAGCTATAGCAATTCTGTATCCTTTATTTTTATATATTTTCTAAACCTGTTTCAATTTGGGATGTTCTTTGTGTCAGTGTAATTTGGAGCTAACACTTCAGCACAAATTTAAGACAGAAGAGATCATTTTACATCCGATTTGTGATTTCAGTACAAGGGTTGTCACTTGAGCAGGACCTTTCAGTGTAAAAGTTTGTTAAGCATTGTCACTATATGCCTTAGAGATTGGTGATCAGTCACTCTGAACCATTTTCAAACCCAAAGCATTCAGTTGCTGTCATGTCTAATCTCAATCTGGAGTCAGTGATGTGCTACATAAAACCATCCAATTTAAATGCTTGCTCCATGTATATTTTTAATGTATGGATTAATACAGAATACAAAGTTCAATGAGAGAGAAAAGAAACACTGAAAAATGCTGTGTAGCCCCCAGAGAAGAAGGGGGATGTCCTACCATAGGGATGCAAAGAAAGGGTTTATTCCTTCCTTCCTTCTTTCCTTCCTTCCCTCCCTTCCTTCCTTACTCCCTCCCTCCTTTCCTTCCTTCCTCTCCTTCCTCAGTCCCTCAGTCCCTCTCTCCCTCACTCTGGTTCTTTCTTCAGACAGTTAAATGCAAGAGATTGCTTACAATTTACTCTCCCCCCCCACCCCCTACATACCTACGGAATGAAATGAACCTTTATTTTAATTAAAAAAGTGACCAGCATGATTTCTGGTTAAAGATGGAATAGAGTGAGTTTGGAGATGAAAGACTCTTAGGAGATTTCAAAGGCAGGACTGGCTAGATGAGGTAATGTATACTCTCTGGAGAGGAAGGAGAGATGGGAGGAAGAGTGCTCTCTGATAGAAGCTCTCCCCACAGGTGAGTCTCTTGTAGCAACAGCTGACTAAATAAATGCCTTAAAAGAGAGAAGGAATTTGCAAAACCTGAAACCAAACTACCATTTTCAGGAGTGAAAGAGAATTGAAAAGGGGATAGACTTTCCTGCTGTACCATACTGTAAATAAACTAATTTTCCTTTCATTTCTATACCTGCATCATCGTTATAAACACATGATATGTTTGAATGGTATGAATAAATGTGATATTGTATTCTATCTTAATACCTCCTGTGTTAAGTATGAACAAAGTAACTGGCTAGCAACAAGGCATTCTTCCTCTAAAGGTACAGCAAATCTACATGTGAGGGCTCTGAGTTATTTTGGCCAGTGTCCTGACTCCCAAGTCTACTTCAGCCAAATGACAAGAGAGAGGGTCTGTGTTTGAGATGCGAAGGTCAGTTAGAGAGCTGGCACTGCAAGGGGCAGAGGAGGAAGAGCACCTTCAGGGGCTTGTGGCGACCCTGAAGATTCAGAATACAGTAAGACCTCAGAATACAAAGGCACAGAGAATGTCACAGATGCCATAAATAAGATTAATTTGGCTCAGGTAAGATTCTCCCAGTATTATAACTAGATTAAAAACAAACAAAAAAAGGGTTTTGCCAGCACAATAGCCAGCAGTCTTTGTGATCTTATCAAATGCCACCACTTCACATTTTGCACCAGTAACAGAGTAAAGAATTAGTAGGACTTTTGAAGATGTTCCCAGTTGTTCCCATGCAGATTCAGATTGTGACACTGCATACAATTAGGGAACACAAAATAGTTATTGTGTTTACCTACTGAGACACTGTCCTATCAGTACTGAAATAATTGCTTTTAAAGCACTTTGGGATATGCTGAGCATGAGAGGACTGTACAGCATGAAAGCTATTTCTGTCCTAACAAAAAATCACACAGATTTGTTTTATGATTTTAAACATCAAGGAACTGATGAAACAGCTTTTTTCCCCGCTCAGAAGCATTTTAGAATGTAAGTTATGCAACTGTAAAGCAGAATTATGCCTGAAAATTAAGCTACCTGTTCATAAAAGACCTGTTCGACAGTTCAGTCACTCACATGCAACACAACACGCCTGTAATCTAAGCAGAATTCTAGATTTGCACAACATGTTCCCAAGGATTAGATGGTTAGCTGTGCTGCACAGGTAACTGGGAAAGTCATGGTGTTGACACCACAGGAACTCACCTTGCTTTTGAATTCTTGACAGGGTGAAAGATTTCCATTTGCCATCATTATGATTTTGGTTGCTGATAACAGAAGCTGTACCTGAACCCAGATCATAGCTGACTTTTATACGCCCGTCACTGAGTTCTACACTCATGAAATCCTTCTGTTAATGAAAAGGATTAGATAGAAAAATCACGATTCTTTTTCATTTTGGTAAGAGGCATAGGACATTTAATAAACACTTAAACACTTTCTCTTCCTGGGTGACAACAGAAAACTTGTTTCAGGCTTTTTAAATAATCTACTTAGGCATTTACTGCCCAGGACTATAATGTACAAAAGTTTGCTACCAACAAGTTCTTTTTACCCCTTCTCTTCTCCTTAGGATTGTGTTGACATTTTGCTAACAACTTAGCTGGAGTTTTGATGGCATGTCTGTACTTTTACTTTCTTAGACCAAAGACAGAAATACACATTATAATTACCTGAAACTAATACTCAGCTTTGAGTACATGTCTGTACTACAGGTAGTGCATTCACTATGTGCCTCAGCTAGATTTAAACTTGCAAGGTAGAAAACAAGAACAGTAAAGATGGTAGAATAGGATTGTTTTACCAGTGTTTCCAGAGAGTAATCTGTACTGATGGAGCAACAGAGAGCTATGAACTGTTATTCTCATTAACCACTGACACCAATATCTGAGCAGTAACTGGAGATGGCTGACTGGAGCAATGATATATGCTGCAGTATCTACAGAAAAAGAGCTAGCAGAATACAAAGAGGAAAACAAATAGCCAGGGAACTGGACAGCATGAAAAGCATGAAGTACGTAATGGTGGAACTATGACCCAGGAACAGAGAATGTACCAGAGAAATTTTAAATTTAATTATAATTTTGCTCATGGCCAGTTCCACCTGTGCTCAGATCTAGGGGGAATGAAAATACTTTTACCATGTGCTGAATACTTATGCAAAACTGATTATAATGTTATGTATATGACCATAAATTTGTGTTAGGAAGAAAAAAGTAAAATTTAACAAACACAGTATTTTAGATCCTTATACATGTCTATTCATGCATCACTAGAAAGAACATCCTCAAAGTTTTTATACAGTGGTACAATATGTTAAGAGACAAATTGTATCAGGGAGCAGTTGCCTTACAGCTTCCAGTGTTTTTCAGAAGTTCAAGCAAATAACTTTTTCTAGAAAACTAAATAAATTAGTAATAATTATACAAAATAATCTAAAACAATTGCATTAATTATACTTTAAATATTCAATTATATAAATAAATTAGAAAAATTACATGAGTACTTCATCATCATAATAAAATTTTGTATTTTACTATAGTCAGTCAAGAGGGGCACCCTTCTTCTTGATAATTCCAGCAATTCTGCTAATTTTTCCCAAAATACAGGAATCTGAAATAAGATTGATTTACAGAAACACAGTTTCTGTCAAATAGCGAGTGCTCAGTAATTTTTCAAGATGTCAGTGAGAACTGCTGTGCACAATTTCTGACCCATATGAAAAGGCTAAGGAAAGGACTCTGCTCCCAGTCAGGCGTGCAAATCAATCTGGATCAGAGATGCTGCAGCTGATTTATTCCTGATTCACGTGAGGATCTGGCCAAATGTCTCTATAAATAACCTTTCCTGGTTATCCACACACATTATGATAGTGTGTGTGAATAAAAACCTGGAACAGCTTTATAACTAATGTTTCCATTATCCGTTTTAGCTGTAAAAGGCACCACTTGTATACTTCGTAAAAATGTCATCACCATCACATCTTTTTGTCGCACCATGCAGTTCCCCTTTAATGCCACTCCATTAAACACAAACTTTTTCTATAGATCAGTAGTACTTCTAAGACTTGTCTCTTCCCATATTCTCCCTGACCTTACATTACAATATTTTAAACTATGAAAGTATAACCACAACTGACAATGTTTGCGCAGGTAAACATTTAGTATAAATTAAAATTAATTAACAATTTCAGAAAAGCTGGAATTCCCCTCAGTCTAACCCAGGCACACAATAATGCTCCCCAGTCAGTAAACACCAGGCAGTCAGCTTCCGCACTATAACACTGTCTGCCTACACTTGGATATCAGACAGTACCATACCAGGACAGTGCTACATTCAGTTCTTATTTATTTTCATAATATGATGAATTCAGACACTGTAAAGATATCATGAAACCTGTCAGGAGTGTGGAGGTTATCTGGTAGTTCTTACCAAGTCATCAGTAGCAAGATACATCAGCAGGGCATTTGATGAGAAAGTCCTGAATTTGAACATGACTGTGGAAATATTGGGGTTCCAGCGGATCGGGCGGCTCACCATGGCATAGCTGTCACCATCGAACTGGACTGTCCCTTCACCATCTGCTACCTGTGGGCTGAAAAGGGGCAATTCCAACCAGTTTCCTTTGCCATGTGAGGTTAAAAGAAAAAGAAGTGAGCAGGAAGGGGAGTGAGAGGATGTCTCTTGGCAGCCATCCTGAACTTGATTTGATTTTATATCAAACCCCTGTTCTGACAAGAGAAGATGTAAGGTCACTACACTGGCTGCCCAATACAAAAGCACTTCTGTGAGGAAGATGGGAGCAGAACCTGTTGCATGTATCTCATGGTCTGTAATGACTCATTTTGCAATCCTCAGTGTAAAATGGCATTATGTACTCTTTCATCTTGTAATAAATCTTGGTTGTGTTATTGTTAGTGATATTACAACTTCTGGAGGGTCTCAGACTGAAAACCCTGGAAACTAATTCTCTTCATTTACGCAAAAATTACAAACACCACAAGAGCAGAAGCATCAGTCTCTCC